AAAAAATTTTTTCGTCAGATGGTGACAGCTAAATAATTGGTCCAACTTTCAGAAAAAGCGATTCTGGAAATCTTTTGCGGTGGTTGGGTGCTCCACAATGTGATTCTGTTGTCCCATTTGTTCTTGCATTCATAGGACGCGAAGTAGTGGCCCAGTTTGTGGAAGCTGCTGTCGTCATACGAAGATTTGAAGAGCCGAACCTTTTTCTCAATGACGATCAACATGGACAAGTGGCTGGACCGAATGAAAGGGTTCCATTGCAGGTGTCTATGAATGTTATAAAATCTCTTGCTTTTATAGCGCTAGCCCAGGAGCACTTGTAAAATCTCAAAAAATTAGCAATCTAGTTTTTTTCTTGTAAATTCTTACATAATCTGTTTTTTACGGGAAAAAATTAAGGTCCGGCACTATAATGAAGCTCTCCGTCGATGCATTGGCTGGAGACGTCACAAAGATTTTCTATTTGGATATCATCCAGAAGCTGAAGAGTGTAGTTCTGCGAAAAAGTTGAAATCTGAGGACGGCGATGTTTCTTAGCCTTCACTACCTATAACATGCGGTGCGTCCTGCTATCTAGTATGTGTGTTGTGTAAAGAGTGAAATATGTATGAATGAAGTTCGAAGACAATAGGCCTTTTTGGGAAGCGCCTGTAGCGGATTTTCATTCAGAATCGCATAGGCGTTAATGTTGAATAAGTTTTACTTAAAGATATGTGTACGCCCAGAGAGGAGTTCATGAAATATTTAGAAATATGTATGGAAAAGTTGATTCCCCATATGATAAGGTTGAGCCACCATATCCATATTCCTTCCTTACACAATTTCTGAACCTTTAAAATTCTTTGGTTTGAAGGGCTTGGCTAGCAGATCTTGGTTGGGTTTGATTGAAATAGCATACCTTGCCAGCACCATTTATTCCCTTGTTTCGAATTCTGTCTGTTGTACAACTTTAAGTACCTGTATGTATTCTCTTCATCTATCGTGTTTAAGAAAAGATCTGACTGAACTTAGAGCACTTTTTTCGCTCCCTCTTAATCTACTTAATAATTTATGGTGCTAGCGGTCTAAATGATATCTTTGACAGTCTATCGCCAATAGAAGTAGATGCCTGGCGTTGAGACTGAAAGTCTTGTCAGTGAATGTGGGCATCTTCAGGTCTTGCACATTTGAAAAACATATATTTGCAAAAAATCATCAATGACAGTTCAATTGCGATAATATGAATGTTCTTGATAAAGTTTCTCTTCAAAATGTATGCGCAATTCCGTCGAATTAGTTGATTCCGGTTCGTTTTACTCTTGCTAAGGTGAATAAGAACAGACATGAGGCTAGTAGCATGGAACCCTGCAATAGAAGGAGATTAGATTAGGTAGTGAA